GGGGGGGGGGCTCCTTATTAGAACTAGAGCATAATATAAACCAAACCCTACTCTAATTGCACCTACATTATTTTCTTTCGCGGCATTACGCCGGATTGCAAAACCTTGCGTTTCCCGTCTACCTTAGGGTCCCCTATAAATTCCATATCAGGGTTTAAAATAAGAACCTACAAAAAAGTCGGTTATGGTAGCTTAAGGTAGTATGCATAGGCCCCATAGTAGTTCCTTTTTGTGGCTCATACTTAGGATCCTATAAGGCAATCCCAAAAAGGAACTACTATGGAGCCCATGGGTATGCTACACCAAGCCATAGTCACTGTGTTGAGAACCGGGGACTATAGGTGTAGGGTTTTGGGTTTAGGGACTATAGGTTTAGGGTTTTGGGTGAAGGGGCTATATAGGTTTAGGGTTTTGGGCTTAGGGGCTATAGATCGAGGGATTTGAGGTGTAATTCGGGATTAAGGTTTGGGGTTTAAGGTTTAGGGTTCAAGATTTGGGGTTTTAAGTTTTGGATGTACGGGTTTGGGGGTCTAGGATGGCCTTCCGAAAATTGTTCCCAGCTGACGTCCTGTGACCCTGAACCCTAAACCCTAAACCCTAAACAATCGTCGTTTATGCGCAAGGATCGCATAGAGGAGCCCAGCGACTTCGGGGCAGTTGTGTCCGTTGCTTAAAGTACCCATAGGCTCCATCGTAGTTCCTTTTATGTGGTTCATATTTAGGATCCTATAAGGCAATCCCCAAAAGGAACTACTATGGGCCAAGAGCAGCTAGGATATAGGGTTTAGGGCTGGGCATCAATATCTCAAAACCCTACAGAAAACCACGCTAAACCCTAAATCCTAAACCCTATAAACCCTAAACTCCCGTCACGCTAAACCGCCATCTCTGGTTTGATCGGGCTGAAGACCCCTGCGCGGCCATGTCTGCGCGTGGAAAAGAACGTTGCTTTCGCATGCATATACATTGGGAGGTGACAGTGTCGACGCGTTAATCTTTTTCCACTTCCGCGCCTCTGAAAGGATCACATGATTGTAGTAGTCAGTAAAGTCCTGCTCCTGTCTTGCGACTTCTGATGTCTGTTTGCAGGCTTCCAACGAAAGGCATAGAACCCTAAACGGCCTAGCGCCGCCGCCCGCCCTGCTGGCAGACCCCCACAAGCACTGACGGATTCACAGTCTGCGGAAACCAGACCGTAAACCCTAAACTTAAAAATATTCAGAAGCAGCTTGTAAAGGCCCGCCCAGAATATTGAAAGATATCCAGAAGCCCTCTTGCAGTGGCTTATGCAACCATGGTTGCGCACTACAGCTTCTTTCTCACTCCACAAAACAAACGTCGAGAGCTTCTATCAGCTTCTGACTGCTGGGGTGTACAAGTGCAGTCTGTTGCAGCTGAATGCGACTATACATAAAGCTCTTTGAGGTTGCTTGGCTCAAGGGCTTCGTCTTTCGTAGCCACCCTTGAGCAACCGGCAAGCGACACATAATCAGGAGACCGGCTGCTGCATCCATTTACACTCCTCCTCAATCTCACTGTCAAGTTGAGATTGCCTTCTCACCAGCCGGGTGCTTCCTTCCCACTGTCGAGTCACAACTCCTTCAGTAGGTGGATTAGAGCGCTCACTCGGGTGCGGTCATTGATCTCGTAATATTTGAGACTGTGCTTCCAGCCCAAATCACGTGCCCTGTACAACCACAGGACGTAGCGTAGCTGTCTGCATGTAGGTCCAGACGGCAAGGAAACTAACTGCGCTAGCCTATCTCCTAGCCTTCTCGCCAGATCGTCCTTGACCCCACTCACAGGTAGTCCTTCCGTTCTCAGACCTTCCTTCAAGGCCTCGCAGTTCATCAGCGAGCATGAGTCCACACAGACTCTTCTCATCTCGCTTACGGTCTCCCCCCTGTTCTCCGGTGGTGACCAAGAGGGTGTAGTTGTCACCACTGGCGGCCTGGGTGGAGGGCTTGGCGTTCTGTGAACCCTTCTCCTTGATATAGAACTCGATGTCTGCTCTTGGAACACCGATTGCGGTGGCAATACCTGTTGTGATGACGAACTTGATGGCTGTTGCTGCTCCGGTTGTTCGGTAACGAAGTCCTGCACCAGATGCCTTGATGATGAAGTAGATGTTGCTGGTTGCATCCTTGTGGACCCACTAGATGAGTCCCTTATGTCTCCTTGTAGACGCTCCAACTCTTGCTCAATAGCCGCGGTGGTTGCCTGCTGAAGCTTGCGTAGGCGCTTCAGCTTCCTTTTGCTTGCACCTGGTGTCCACTCATAATAGGCCTCAATGAGCGACCACCGTATCGCCTCCCAAATCATCAAAGCACCCAATACCATCAACAAGAGCATAAATATTCCTGCCATATCCCAGTCCAGCTGAATGCTCCTTGTCCCAGTCGTGGCTCCTTCCGAAGCTCTGACCGAAACCATCAACAGACAGCAAATAACTGCCACCAATGCCCTTGACGATACTGAAGCTCCAGTGGTAGTGGTTGACTCGAATACATTTTCACCCACACCCCATAAGCGAAGGAGCGACATAGTCCTCGCTGAACTCAACGCCTTTGTCAATAAATCTGCAGGCTGTCTTTCTCCTGGGCAGTGGACTGTAGTGAATACTCCATGCGCCACTTGCTCCTGTAGCCATCCCGCCTTAATCTTCAAATGTCTTGTTCTCCACGACGATGAACCCGTGGAAATAGACAAAGCCGACGTGCTATCCGACGCAATCTGCTTCTCCTCGACAAAGATGCCCATATCGACCAAAAGGGCTTCTACGCCCTTCATTGCGATCGCCCCATCAAGGATCGCGAGCAACTCTGCCTCCGCGGTGGACAGGGTGATCATAGGTTGCTTCCCACTCCGCCACATTATTGGCGAGCCGCCATACATGACAAGCCACCCGCCATGCGAGCGGGTGCTTTGCGGCGCATATGCCGCATCGCAAAACATCACCAATGAATTCTCTTCCCACCGGATCTTCAACTGGAACCTTGCCGTACGCTGAAGATACCCAAGTGCTTTCAGCCCGATCTCAATAACTTGTCGCGGCTGCTTCAGGCATAATGACGCCATTATTGCCGTCGTATAACTGAGATCCGGTCTGCTTCGTTGAGCTAGCCAAAGGATTTCCCCCGTCAGCTGCTGTGCACGTAAAATATCCTCCTTCAACGGCTCCGTAGGCTCTCTTTCTGCCACCAATTCCTTGGAAATAGGTATCTTGTCCAAGGCATTCACCGGGATCTTGTGAATCCTCATCAACTCTTGTATGTATCCAAGCTGCCCGATGCCAATCTCCTTGGGATACTGCTCTTCCACATGTAATTCCATACCAAGAAATCTAATGGAGGTCCCAGGTGCTAAAAAGGTTGGTTCTGATGTGTCCCAAACACTCTGTATCCATCTGGCAATACTTTGCACCACCAGTTGAGGTCCACAAATCAGAAAATCATCCACATACACCAGGATCATTGCGACCATATGACCTTGTTCATCCACCACCTTCCACCAGCTTGATGCAGCTCGACCTTGTTGAAGTCGTAGTCCTTGTGGTGGCTCATGAGAGCTCAAGACATAGTCCCGGTAATCGCCCCATAATGCTGGTGACTGTCGAAGTCCGTACAAGGCCCTTACCAAGCCCCAAAGTTCCACCCTTGCCACTAACGACATTGACTCCAATAGCCGGGGTGGTTGGACCACAATCACTGGGTCATTCTTGTTGCGTCCCATTGGTGTTCGTAGAAAAGCCGCCACGACGTCTAACACCGCCACCATCCAATCGTTCTTCACAGCCAACGACAAACCTGCGCGCACTGCCTCCGCTGGGGCAGCTTCGGTATATACGGATGCTCCATCTTCAGCTGCCATGTTCCCGCACACCACCAAACGTGCCTTACGTTTGTACCATGTTTCTGGCTCGCTCTGACTTGCCTTGTCGTTAGGCTTGATGGTGAACACGAATTTTGTTGGGAGCCTTTGTACCCCCGGCAGCGATAACCATTGCTTTCTGCTCTCAGATCCAGGTGGTAGTCTGTCAATGGCAATCTCAATCGACTTCAACTCCTTCTCGATAGCGGGACGCCAAAGCTCTAAGTTGCCAAATACCTCTTGAGGATCCACTGTATATGTCACATCTAGTGGACCAGACAACGAACTGAGTACCTTCTCAATGTTGCGGGTGTAGACAACCTCAGTTTTACCCATCACTGGCATGGAAGTTGTGGTGGCTGACGAGTCATCAATCTTTAACAAGCCTGGCTCCAGGTCGAGGTACATAATCCAATCCGGGTCTGCCTTGTCGTTGCTCCCCTCCTCCGTTAGCTCCAGATGGACTTGCTTCAACGCGAAGCTCTCTGCCTCCTCATTTTCATAGAACTCTGGAAGCTGTGAAAGTGGAATTGGGAATCCATATTCATGTAGAAGATCCACATCCCCCTGGGTCAACTTTCCAAGGCATTGCGGGGAATAAGCTATGAGCACAATCCTCTCCCCTTCCCACGGACAAACTTCATGAGCACGTCGAGGTCCAAACTTGACACGTTCCCCACACTCCAGAGAGATCAGCTGGCCATACACGTTCTTTTCACCTTGTGTCCTTGGCTCTATGGACCCTTGCACATAGTCCCCTGGCTTCAACTCCACCCACAATTCTCCTCCTGAACTGGGAGTTTGTATAGGGACCACATAGTTGTAGGTTCTTGGATCATTGTTCACATCCTTGTGGAAGGGCTTCAAGGCATTGCACGACACCAGCATTGATGTGAATGTTGCTGTAGGATCTGCTTCACACACAATACCACACATCAGCCTCACTAAGTCTGGGAACTCCTCAATGCCTTTCATCCACCCAACTGCTCCTCCGTGCCGGTAGAGCCCGAACTTCTTATCGCTGAAAAACGCCGACCTGGCTAAATCTCTGACCAGATCATATGCCTCTTCCAAACTCCAATCCTGTAGGATTCGCTTTGCCTCACGAACCGCTACCTCTGCAGCCTCCCTGGAACTCCATGTTATAGCACGAAGCTCCACCTGCTCAGGACCAGTTTTAGAAGTCAACCTCCTCCTCGGTTTAGGAACTTCCTCACGCAAAGCATCTTGTGGCCTTCCAGGATCTATAAGGTCCGGCCTGACATGGGCGGTGTGGAAAAACTTTTCCCGTTCTTCACCAGCTGCGGGTACGTAAACAAGATGTCCATGATGAAGAATCGTACTTATTCCCACATACTTCCCAGCCATCCATTTAGATTCCAGACTTTGCTCTCTTCGCTGGGGGCCATCTTGATCAAACGCCTTTCGCTTCAGGTGAACGGTGGCACCAAAAGGAGCCGCTAACAAACTTTTCCATCCAAGCACTGCTGCTCGCTGCTGCGTGGCCGCCGTAGCTGCGGCCACCGGCCACAAGCGCATGGGTAGGTCCGCGCTTCTCAATAATGTCCTGGTGCGGTCCTTCATCCATCTTACCAAACTTTCTGCTTGACCGTTCCCTTGTGGTACTCCGGGTTCCGACCAGGTAGCATATATCCCCTGATCTGTTAACCACGATCTAAGTCCATGGTTGAAGAACTCCCCCTTATCGGCGTGGAAGCGATAAATCGGAAACCCATGCATCCTCAAATAGAGTACTATATCCTGCAGCGCCTTTCGTACGGTCGCCGATTGATTGTTAGGGAGGCCCACTCCGAAGGATAGGAAGGTGAGCTCTGGAGCAACGCAATCCCCATTGCTCATAACCACGTCTGTTGTAGGTCCTTCAGGTTCTTGGCCTTCTTCCCCATCATCCTCCTCCTCTGCTGACGGCTGATACATCTCCAAATCTTCTTCAGCATCCACAACACCAACAGGTCCAGGGGTAGGAAAAAGCTCCACATCGGTCTCCTGGACTGGGATTGCTTGCTCCGTAGAATCCTCAGGACCAAACAACTCCTCCAACAATTGCCGTTGCTCCTCCGTCATAGATTCCACAGGTGGTGCTGCCTCAGAAATACACCCATCATCCTCCGGAGGTTTGCGACCTGAGTGCAACGCAATGAACTCCTTCGGAACAATATACTTAGCCACCAACAGGTACTTCAGGTTCTTCCCCATGGTCCCCTTTGAGGTAGGATCCAAGCCCTTTGCCAAAGGACCTGCCACGTCTGCAGTCAACACGTATGACTCCGGGTGGTGTACCCTTCGGTGCTGCCTCCCCGTTCCTCTCGAAGTTACGCATGTGAGGCATTCCTTTTGATACACCTCATGGTTCGAACCCACATGTCGCTTCCATTGCTCTGCAGACATCGCATGTATCCGGGGTGCACAATGCGGTTGTCGATCCCAGAAACTCAAAGCAACCACTAAGGCTTCCAGTAGGCCGGGTGACCATATTGCATCCTGTGGGTGTGATTCTGGTAGGTCACAACCTTCTGGGACTCGAAGACCATCGAGGGATAGCAAACTGTGTATGTTGGTAGCAATTGTGGTTCTGTTTTTGGATAATCCACCCATTGCTCCCTGATCAAAGGACACCAAATGTAACGCCTTCTCCCGCTGATAGGACTTCCACATACGGGTCTCCCAGAAGCTATTTGTAGCATCCATGGTATTTCCTCCAGTGTAAAGCTCAAGCCGAGGTTGCTGTATATTCTCCCAGAACCACACTGAATGATCCCATGAGGCCACCTCACGCCTCGCGTCAGGATCACGCAGCTCTTCCTCCCTCTCAGCGATGAGCGCCTCTCTGGCTTGGTGCGCCTCACGACCAGGGCCCTCAGGATATTCTAGAACGAAACCCACATCACGATTCTTTGCTCTTGGTGTACCATTGACTTCTCGTCCCACTTGTGAAAGGGCATGTAACCACAACATTCTTGCCACCAGCGTCATACTCTTGAGATCGCGGCAACCTCCCTTTCCATGCTGTTGGGACCGAGCTGGTGGTCCACCCACTATCACGTCAATCTTCCCTTCCTTGGCGCCCCAAAGCAACATTCGCCATGTCTCATCTCTCATGATATCTTGGCCTTGACAGCGAGCTAAGTCAAACTCAAGGACGGTCACATCACCTTGATCCAGCTTCATAAACTGCCAGTGTCCTTCTTGTCCAGCGAACAGGTGAACCACCCATCTCTTGGAATGAATGATCTTACGCCTTTGTGCTCTTGTGAAATATCCAATCTCCTTCATGATATCCCATCCAGACCATAAACCCTGCGTAGGAATAAGCTCCGATAAGCATTCTCCCGGTAGGTCTGCCAGAAAAGGAGCGTCCCTTACTGCTCTCAAGCCTGACTCAAACGATCCAGTGAGCACGTAGTCCATGAGGTAGAAGTCCCAACTCCTATCCATAGCGACAGCCGACATTTTCAGCTTATCCTTGGTAGTGAGAACAGCGTTGCTCAGCTCTTCCATTCTCCTGTCTTCCAGCCGTGCTATCATTGCCAGGGCTTCTAGCTCTTGTAGTTGAGGACATCCATCGCAAACTTGAGGCTGTATCTTGTCACCCTCCTGCGATTGTAAATAGCAAGCATCTTTGCTCCATACCATGGTGTACCCCAAAGTCTGTATCAGTTGACCCATAGGAACGATGGTTTGTGCTCGTAGATCTTCTGAGGGTGACCTTGGTATAGCGGAGCTCTTAAACGGCATAAGCAACGTACCAGCTTCAGTGATCTTCATAAGTAGACGATGGTTCCCAGCCAAAAGCACTGACACATCTGTAGCTGAACTCCACTCCTCTTCCGATCTTGCAGTCCGCAGGCTGTGCGTTGCCCCGCTGTCCACCAGGGCCGTGGTGGAGCTGTTGGCTGCACAGACTCTAATATCTCGTAGGGTGATGGTCCTCACCTGCGGCTTCGTCTTTTCGGGGGAAGAGTCACCCGTGCTTTCTGCTGGCTGTGGTTGCACGACTTGTTGTGCCGCCTGGATCAAAGCCTCCAGAGTCCATGGAGTCCCCTGTATTGTACTGCTCGGGCTTGAGGTTGTAGTCTCTGTTGTACCCGTCGTAGCCATTGTACTTTGCACAGATACAGGAGCTGCTGCATTGGAAGGTTTGTTGGCACCATCCTTAGGCTGGGTTGACGCCTTGGTAGCGGAGCGCCCCACGGGGCAGTCCTTCTGGCGGTGGCTTTCGGCCCCGCATTTCAGGCACTTTCGTGCCCGCACATCCTTTTCCATTGAAGACATACTATGCGAATACGAACATTTGTCGCCGCGCTTGCAGCCCGACGCCTTCGCGAAATACCGGCAGAGCTCTGTCGCCGTCGTGGCTTGAGCTCTGCCTCCAGCATCCTTTGCTTTGGCCATTCCTGCAGACTCCACACCACGTAGCTTGGGCTGCGTATTGCCTCCTCCTTGCGAGTTGGCCGAGAGGAGGACCTCCAACTCCGCTTGTAAGTGCCTTTGGTACGACACCACCTGCTCTATAGTGGGCCTTCCATCCAATCGCAAAGAGGTCCTCAGCATGGCTGTCCTAAAGTTCGCATCCGACGACTTAGCCATGTGGTGATCTGTCAAAGCCATCAGACCCCTAGCCAAAACGCTAGGGTCTGGCGGTATCATATGCACCTTTCGGCACCGCTCCAGCCACCTTGGCCAAGCTCGCACTGCTTGTAAAGCTTGCTGCATAGAGTCGCCGCTGACATACTCCAAGGGGTTTTGTAGCCTTCTCAGTACATCCTGACGCTCTGCTCCACGTCCCGGCTGGTAAAACGTGTATGCTCTGAACATCATCTTGACACAGTT